TTTAACTCCACTGTGGATGAGTTGGTGTGTTTGTAAGTTTCCAGGCTGGGTAAAAGACTTTCCACATAAGTCACAGGTGTAAGGTTTAATTCCATTGTGAATCAGTTGGTGTCTTTTTAAGCTTTCAGCGTGGGTATAAGATTTTCCACAAAAGTCACAGGTGTACGCTTTAACTCCACTGTGGATGAGTTGGTGTCTTTTTAAGCTTTCAGCGTGGATATAAGATTTTCCACATAAGTCACAGGTGTATGCTTTAACTCCACTGTGGACGAGCTGGTGTGTTTTTAAGCTTCCAGCGTGGGCAAAAGATTTTCCACACAAGTCACAGCTGTATGCTTTAAATCTACTGTGGATGAGGTTGTGTGTTTGTAAGCTTCCAGCGTGGGCAAAAGATTTTCCACACAAGTCACAGCTGTACGGTTTAATTCCACTGTGGATGAGATAGTGTCTTTTTAAGTTAACAGCCAAAGTAAAACTTTTTCCACACAAGTCACAGCTGTATGCTTTCACTCCACTGTGGATGAGTTGGTGTGTTTTTAAGCTTTCAGCGTGAGTAAACGATTTTCCACACAAGTCACAGGTGTACGGTTTAATTCCACTGTGGATGAGATGGTGTCTTTTTAAGTTAGCAGCCAAAGTAAAAGATTTTCCACACAAGTCACAGCTGTATGCTTTCACTCCACTGTGGATGAGTTGGTGTGTTTTTAAGCTTCCAGCCCGGTTGAAAGATGTTCCACACAAGTCACAGGTGTATGCTTTAACTCCACTGTGGATGACTTTGTGTTTTTTTAAGTTTCCAGCCCGAGTAAAATCCTTCCCACACTCATCACAGCTGTATGTTTTCTCTCTCTTTCTTCTGTGAGGTTTGTCGGCCTCCTGAGAGCGCTGACTTCTCGCTCCATGTTGGTCCTGCAGTGACAGAGATACAAACAGAGGCAGTGAGTGAAATGCAGTCGTGGAACAAACTGAAACTCCATTAGTGGAATCAAAGAGGTCAACAAACACGTCGTAGGTGTGTTACCATCACCTTCTGGTGATAGTATCACATTACAATGATGTGCTACAATGAGAGTTGTAACGTCCACAGTGATATTTTTGCTCACCTTTTGGGTTGAAGTCATTGTTTCCTCTGTAGTGGCTGAGCTGAGTCTAAATGGCTCGTCTCCTCCTGATGATCAGCTGGAACAGTTAACAACAGTGGTGAGAAACTGGAGTAATAAACCTCCACTGACTGAGTAACTGCAGTTTGGTGCTTCATTTGAACCTCATAGATTTTATTAAACAAAATGGATTAAAAAAATACTCTACAAAACAGAAGGTGAGCTGATAGTAAGAGGGTCATCATCTCAAACTACATCAAGATTCTCAGACCATGTCACGGTTCACTTGATCCCTGCAAACAGGCACAAACAACAACTCTCTAAAGCTTTTGTGAAGACACTGAAGCAGTGGACTGATGAGGCTGTGGAGAATCTGCAGGTGTGTCTGGACTGCACCGACTGGCAGGTTTTCAGGATTGTTAACAACAGTTTGGATTATTATAGAGATGCTGTGACGTCCTGTAACATCAGCTTCTGTGAGGAAGCTGCACAGCATCACACACCAGGGTGAGTTAGAATAATGACCAGCTCTGGTTCACAGCTAAGCTAAAGAAGCCTGAGGCTGGAAAAGCAGGAAGTGTTTCAGGCAGAGGTGGAGGCAGACATTTGATACACCCAGGGCTTAGCCCTAAAGGGTACTATGCATGA